ATCATCATCATCATCATCATCATCATCATCATCATCATCATCATCATCATCATCATCATCATCATCATCATCATCATCATCATCATTGTCAGCAGTAATAACCGCCGTACTTGTCGCACAGTGGTTGTAGCTGCGCATTGGAGGCGGGAGCTGATAAATTAGCGCGTGAATACAGCACTGAAGGTGGACTGTTAAGTGGGGGGTTTGGAAGGGAGCTTTGCATTGAAGGCATTAGCTTGAATGTATGAGCGCCATTGGGGACGCGACTGGACCATGTCTGATAATGTCTCCAATCCAGGAAGACGTCAATGACCAGCGCAGCTGAGTTTGCTGGTAATGGCTTTCATACTTCGCTGCCAAGTCATCGTTTGACCGCCTCTGGCTCTCTTCCACCCTTCAAGTGGTTGTGCAAAAACAGCCCTTCCAGGAAGTCAGTCGACTGGCATACGCAGCACGTGGCCAAGCCAGCTCAACCTATGCAATGTGGTCAGTTCATCTATCGAGGGTGTTATTTCTCCCGAATACCATTCGACGGCAGTGAAGCATCGGTGTTGAACACTGATGTCATGCTGTCGATGATGATGATCATCCGACGTACTTCAGCATTACTGATCCAGTGTTCCCACCAGATTCGGGCAATGCTCCGAAGACATCGATGGTCAAACACTGAAAGTCTTTTGACGTCCTCGGCGCGCAGCGGGCAGGCTTCTGATCCACATAATAATATGGAGCGCACCGCAGCATTGCAAACTCGACCCTTGACAGAGAAGGTGAAGTCACGCCTACGCCACAGGTGATGTAGGTTCACAAAAGCTGCTCCGGCCTTCCCAATCCGAATGAGAATTTCATCTTTCGCCGGACCACCGGGACTGATGCGGCTGTCCGAGTAAATAAATTTGTCTACTACCCAGCAGCAAAAAGAGTAACCTCTTACTTCAAATAGAGATTTGAAGTGACAACGAAGGAGCCATTATCGATGCACATCCTCCTGGATGCAGTGTACGTGGCCCTTGTCGTCCATGGCTGGAGATGCTGAAACGTGTGGCTGTCAAGCGATGCCGGTGGCACTCATGTTCTTCGTTTCTATCTAGATTGTCTGATCCATCTTCTTGGAGTACCGGTAGTAACTTGACACAAAAACCATCCCCTCCTCCGTTTTGTTGTTCTCCGAAAAGAAACTTCGCCAAAGAAAGACTGTGATTGTGTGGTAGCAACAAACTGACATTCAACACTGGTTTATGCCCACGAGGACGATAACGATAGAACAAATTCATTTACCCGGAGTATTCAAAGTAAATTTGGGGAAGAGAGGTTACCGGTGAACCAGCCCAACCTAGGCGTACTTGTACCTATCTGCAGCTGGCTCGCTTCAGAGACTAGTGATAGCGAGATTTCTTCAACTACGTACGAGGCATTTCGCGAGGAATAACTGACAAGCCAAATAGTTGGGAATCATACTTTACCCCAACCGTCAGGCTGCGATTGTTTTACCACACAGATCTGCCGTTTTTCTCAATCTGATTCTTCAATATAGTTTGAACTGTACACTATACGGATCGACTAATCTTAAGTGGCTCTAATGCTCCCAATATCCCCTGGAACAAGTTGTGCCCATCAATCGAAATCTACCCATTTGAATGCTCTGTGAGCCGATTCAGTCTGTTTGTGAACAGAGTTTAACCACGCCCTAAACTATATTTTATGAAGTATCATCACTTACTCCTACTGTTCTCATAGAACGGTGTCTTATGCAACCAACCAATGAGATCGGGGAAAGTATTTGGAGGACAAACGTTACTGATACGATTAAAGCGGCGTCTATACTGAAGTGGGATATTCAGCCCACCCTGGACCTTGAGGATCTATCAGGAAATGGGAATTCATAAGACGTATGAGGTTCGCTGAAGCAGCAACATCTACACGACAAACCAAAAACTACCAAGGACCTGGAAGACCATGCAAATGATACATGCCTTCTCCCAGGGGTATGCCACCACCCAAACCATAAAGGCGTCGTGTGGCTGACGTGTGGCCTGAGCGAGGATGCCAGTCTGTTACTCAAACAAAAACGGAAATATAATCTACAAGGACACATCGTCTTGCTATCCCGTTCGACCTCAGAGGCTCATACTAACATCCGCAGATTAAGCAATGACATTAACACGGTCCACCGATTCTCATCCTCCATCTCACCTGTTCCGTTCCCCGCTGAGACCCGAATCTCCAGACCTAATGACGTCATCCATCACCATTGTGTGCCTTTCGATTTTTTTTTCCGTTTTATGAGTGTAGTCTGTGCCCACAACCACTTTCCGTATTTCAGCATCCCGGAATCATGCACTAGCGAATTTCACTAATTTTGATCGAAAAATCAAATCCTCTCGATGCAACGAACAGTTTCGCTGTGCTAATCACCCTCCGAACGGCGATGGCGCATCCTCTCTCTCTCTATGGAATGCTAACTGCGAATAGATACTTTAGTCCCACCCCCCTACGCAGGCTTGCGTCCTCGGCGACTTCAAGGAATGCTATCAAGTCAGCTGTTTTGAAGTGCATTGAAGTGCAGTGATTCTAGTGTCATGACGATTGATATGTATCGGAATCGGGTACGATCAACGGATACAAATTGGCAATAACTCGGAAAATGAGCAGTTTTTGGGGATACTGACATCCCCAACAACGATATAAAGTGTACCTTTGCATATACCGCTAACTCGTAATTCTCACCCATATACTACTTCTATTAGACGATTAAAGCGTACGTTGAGGCCTTCCATTCTATCTTCCTCCTAACCTCGACCTGGAACTACTCGAGCCTCGCAACAATTCAATCGTCTGATGAAGAAATGGATCATAATCTCCGATCCCCGGTTTCTGATGCTCATCCTCACTCATCAGATGGTACGAAACGATGGACTCAATGGCTCCGTATTTTCAAAGCTTACACTAACTCAATCGAACATGAAGGTCTAAATAAATTGGAACTCTCATACGTCACACTGACCATACAGTATGACCTCAATGCAGAATGTGGCGACTACGATTCCGCAATAACCTTGCTGGAACAACTATATTCGCCCGAAAAAACTCGTGCATGCACGCCACCTTTTAGCTACACACAAACAAGAAACTGGCCAAGATATCGACCAATTCGTTCAAAAACTCAGGTAACTTGCTGAAGACTGTGAATTCAAAGAAGTATCTGCTGTGGAACATACAAACGAGGCAGTTCGAGATGCCTTGATAACCGGACTGCAGTCGAATACCATCATGAGGAACTGCCAACGTGGCATGAATTAAACCTTGACAAAGTCCACGAAGCTGCACGAGCTCTCGAATTTGCACAAAAACAATCACA